GTGTATGGTTCAGTGGTAGAGTGTTTGCCTAGCATGGTGAGGTTCTGGGTTAAATCTCTAGCAACACACACACACACACACACACACACACACACACACACACAAAAGGAACTAAAGGGGATATAGTGAGTAGGACTGTATTCCCCTAGCTCTTGTGACCACAGAGCTATGAAACATGCAATAGTCTAAACATTTGTGTCTCCTCAATGTTCTTATGTCGTGGTGGTGCATGCTTGTAGTCCTGGGAAGATCATGAGTTCAAAGCCAGCAAATTAGGGAAGCCCTACACAAGTGAGACCCTGTCTGTAAATAAAATATTTAAAAAAGAGCTGAGGATGTGGCTCTTTGGTTAAGCATCCCTGGGTTCAATCCCCCATACCAAAGCAAAAAAAAAAAAAAAAAAAAAAAAGATTCTTAGGTTGAAATCCTCACATCCTTATAAAAGAGGCCCAAGAGGAAGCCACCTGTGAAGAAGCAACCCTCACCAGACAGTGACTATGCCAGCCCTCATCCTGGACGGCCCCGCCTCCAAGATGGTAACAAGTAGATCTGCTTCATTTATAAGCCACCAGTTTGTGGTATTTTGCTATAGCACCCTGAATGGACTGACAATATATTGTCTTATTTTTTTCCTGTTTTCCTATTGAAAATGCACATTTATTTCTGACCACTTCTCACTTGCTCCTCTGCTGCCACCCTACCTGGAATCAGCCACATTTTTCACTGGATTCCTGCAATTGCCTCCTCAGTTCAATTCATCTCCCTGCTCCTGGCCTCGACCCCATACTGTTTGTTTGCAAGATGCTATCAACAATGTCCTTTAGAAATCTACCAGGAACCCAAGGATGGTCTCCATTTTCCTCAGAACAAAGGCAGAATTCCTCACAGTGTTCTGGAAGCCCTCCCTTTTGCCACCTCTCTCCCCAACGCCTTCTGAACTCATCCCCCTCTCCTTGCTAGGTTTCAACTTCACAGGACAATTGAGAGTTCTGTATGCATCAGGCATGCTTCCACCAGAGAATATTCACACCAGCTCTTCTCCCTTTTCGGGACAGTCTTTCTTAGAGAATCACAGGGCTCCTTGCTCCCCTTCCTTCAAGTCATTCTCTTATATGTTGTCTTCTCAGTGATCTACTCTCAAAAAACAACTTGCTCCTTTTCTGTTATGGTTTGGATATGAAGTGTTCCCCAAAAGCTCATGTGTGAGACAATGTAAGAAGGTTTGGAGGAGAAATGATCTGGCCAGACTTAACCTAATCAGTGAACCCATTCCCTGATGGGATTAACTGGGAGGTGGCTAGAGGCAGATGGGGTGTGGCTGGAGAAAGTGGTTCATGGAGGGTGTGGCTACAAGGTATTTATTTTGTATCTGGAGTGTGAAGTCTTTCTCTCTTTGCTCTCTGATCATGATGTGAGCTGATTCCCTCCACTATGATGTCCTGCCTCACCTCAATCTGTGGGGAATGGAGCCGGCCTTCTATGGACTAAAGTCCTCTGAAACTGTGAGCTCTCAAATAAACTTTTCATTCTCTAAAATTGTTTTGGTTGGATTCTTTACTCTTTATTTCTTTATTCTTAACTCTTTATTTCTTTATTCTTTACTTTTTATTGAAAAAACTAAAACATCTTCCTTCCTTCCCTCCTTCCTATTTTTTATCTTTTTTTTATTTTTATTGTCCTGGAGATTAAACCTGGAATGCTTGACCACTGAGTTATATCCCCAATCCTTTTTTATTATCAAAATAAAATACAGGGTCTCACCAAGTTGCTGATAGTCTTCTAAATTGCTAAGGCTGACTTCAAACTTGCAAATCCTTCTGCCTCAACCTCCACTAGGATTATAGACATGTGCCACCACGCCTGGCTCTCCAACCTACCTGTTCCAAATGCCAGCCTCTACCTTACCCAGTTGGCAACCCTGATTTCTCTTTTCCCTCTATATCTTGTAGCCATTGCCTGTATCATCTACCAGCATGCTGCAGAATTAAGCAATTTAGTATATTTGTTTTCTGACTCCTTCAGCTAGAAAGTAAGTCATAGGAAGGAAGGGATTTTATTTTATTCTGTTGTATCTTCAGCTTCTAGAATGCCAAGCATGCATTGGGTTCTCAAACATTATTTATTGAATGAAGAAAATAGTAAAAGTTTTCCATACCTGTTTTTAAAATAAAAATGTGTCATATGAACAATGCTTCTTTTTTTTTCCTGCTATAATATTTATGATGCATGTTATCATCAGTTGTTAGAATTGACGACCGTCAAGTCAGGGGATGCTTGCATTTTTCTGTACTCACTGCTGCCAGAATTAATTTACTATCTGGTAAAAAGAAAAAGCTTACTGTCATCTGTGACTTCTCTTTCTCTCATTTCATCACTCTCCTTCCTCCACCTGAAATTAATTTTTTGCCAAGTTGCCTAAGCCCTGCCAACTCTATTTCAATAATAACTTTCTTATTAATTTCTTTCCCTCCTTCCCCACTAGGAAGGGCACACTTGGGGGGACAACTGCCAATAATCCTGGAGAGGAGGCCAAAACCCTATCAGAGGTGGCCTTTGATGCAATTAGACTTTCTGTGGGAAGCAATGGTAAGCCACTGCATTTTTAAAAAGCAAGATCACAATTTTTAGTAACATAACTCTGACAGTGATGTATCAAATGGCCTGGAGGTCAGCAGGATTCTCATTTCTAATTCTGCAATAACTCTTTATTTCACTTCACATGATGCTCTTTCTTTCTTTCTTTCTTTTTTTTTTTTTTTTTTTTCAATGCTGAGAATCAAACCCAGGGCCTCAGGCATGCTAGGCAAGGTAAGCAAATGCTAGACCAAATGCTAGGCAAATTCTCTACTACTAAGTAAAATCTCCAGTCTTTTTTCAAATTTTATTTTATTTATTTATTTATTTTTTTTTTTTAAGACAGGACCTCACTAAATTGTTCGGCTGGTCTTGAACTTCTGACTCAGTTTGCCTCAACCTTCTGAGTATCTAGGATCATAGGCATGCCACCAAGCCTGGCTCTATCAGATTTTCATCTATCTGCTTTTTTTTTTTTTTTATCACTTATTGTCATCTCAGTCTTGCTCCTCTCCAAGAAGCTGGATATGCTACAAAGACACAGGCTAAAATGCATCACTTGTTCCCTCTCATAATATCTTTCATATTGACCAGAAGATAAGAGGGAGGAAGAGGATAAAGAAGAGAGCTCTGCATGTCTTTTTAAATAATATCTAAAGCATCTCATATAATGTGAGTTAGACCCACTTATTCTTCCTGTGGTGATTGAAATGTAACCCAAGTCTTGTGCAAGGTAAGCAAAGGCTAGACCACTGAGCTAATCCCTAAGCATAGTTCTACTTTCCACATAGAAATGGAGTTTCAAAAAGCAAACTTTTTACTCAACATCATATCAGCAGCAGAATTCAAACTGCCCAGGAAGATAAAATAATCTGACTTCTAATGAACTTCTAAGTTCTAGAAACTGAGATCTGTGCTTTATAGGAATTGTTTAAATTTCAACTGCCTGTCTTATAATAAGCTGAAGTTGTTAACCCATTTCTCATAACAGGAGACTAAGGTTAGAAAGATTAAGTAATTTGCCCAAATCCATGTAGCTAATAATGGTAATGCTGGACCTGGAGAGAAGCTAGTTTTATCTAATTGGAAAAAAAAGTTCCAACCCCACTATCAATAAAGACCAATTCTCACTGGGCACCATCCTGGCACACTCCTAAAATCCAAGCAGCTCCAGAGGCTGAAGCAGGAGGATCACAAGTTCAAAGCCAGCCTCAGCAATTTAGTAAAGACTTAAACAACTTAGTGAGACCCTGTCTCAAAAAGTAACAAAAAGGGCTGGGGATGTGGGTCAGTGGTTAAAGCCCCAGGGTTCAATTCCTGGCACCAAAACAAACAAACAAAAATTCTCTCCACTATGCCAGCCTGTCTTCTGTGCTATGGGAAGAGCAATCAGACACTGACATGGCTCTGGCCATCCCTGTATGATGGTGGGTCAACCCAGGCAGTCAGTGAGTCCTCTGTCCTTCTTGACTTGAACATGCCTTAACAGCTTTTTCTCCTACTACTGTTTACAGGGGAGAATAGCTCTGCACAGATTGGTACCTACAAAAATAGAAGATCCCTCTTCCTACACCTTTTCTTGTTTCATGTTAACCACTATCACCTGGCCTATAGTTACAAGAAAGGGAAAAACCTTTAAAGCTTAAGATTCAAAAATTATAGTTGAATTTGATTTGTGACTAGCACAGCAGAAAAATTCTCTGTGAACTTTAAAATTTTACCATTCTTTTCCTGCCCAGCACTATGGATCTGGTAAACCCAGAGGCTGGCTTCCCCCCTTTTTTTTCCCTTTTTGAATATGCATTTAAGGTTGGCTCAATACCTGAGGATATTAGGTAGAGACTTTAAAATTATATTGTTGCTAATTTGTATCTAATGAGTTATTATTCAAGCTGGGCAGGTGGCACACTTTTGTAATCCCAGTGACACCAGAGGCTGAGGAAGGAGGATTTCAGGTTCAAGGTCAGCCTCAGCAATGTGGTGAGACCCCTCTCAAAATTAAAAAAAAAAAAAAAAAAAACAGGCTGGGGATATAGCTCAATAGTAAAGTGGTGTCCCTGAGTTCAATCCTCAGCACAAAAACAAAATAAAACAAAATGTTAACAAAACAAAATGTTATTACTCAAAATACTCCATAATATGAATGAAGACTGAGGCAAATTATAAGTATCATAAATAGAGTCACACCATGCTCAGGTGTACAAAGACATGGAGTTTATTTCTTTTCAACTGATGGAGCTTATTCTTCACAACCCCACACCCACCAAGTAGCACAGAAGTCATTTCGGTTAAATTATTGATTCATTCTTATTTTATGCAACATATTTTCTGCTTTGATGAGTCAGGAAAAAAAACTTATCAGGTTTCTGTCCCTCTGCCCTCATCACCTAGATTTACGTGGATGATTGAGGCATGTGTAACACTTACCAGAACCCTAGGCCTGAGGCCTGACTCTGGGGATCCAACAAATCAGGTCTGGCCATTTGCTCCAAAAACTCCACAGAAAAGGAAACTGTGGAAAACATGAAAGAAACCTGAATCAGTGTAGCTGTACCAGGAAGGGGACCCATGTCCTTAGCTCTGTCTTTAAGGGACCAACAATGACTTTGAGGTTTTTTAGAAAGGGAAATGGGAGCAATGGTGGGATGGGGTGGGGGGCGGTTAGCCTGGCCAGGGGGATTGCATAGCTGCCAAAGCTGGTGATCTTGATGTGTTGTGTTCTGCCCATCATTATCTCAGGATTGGTCAGGCTGCCTTGTCCCTGATAAGAAAGTTGCTGTTGCCTGGGGGGTAACTTCGACTCATCACAAGATGTTTATGAGATCAGGCCTGGTTCCTGGAATCCAGGGTGACTGAGAGCAAAGAATATGGATACAAAATGGAGGCAGATGCCATGTCCTTAATCCTGCTTTTAGCCACCCAGAGGGAATTAACAAGAAAAAGTAAAGAGGCTAAATTCTTTTCATATACCCTAGGGGAGGCAAAGTCCTGAAGGCCATGAGATGAGCTCTAAGCTGGCCTGGCCTGGCCTGACCTAGGCCCAGAGTTGATAAATCTCAGGAGTGACTTGTTCCTCCCTGGGCCTTCTGGAGTCTGCCTTTAAGATACACTCACTTAGTTCACTGAACTTTGACAGGGCTCTGGCCATCTCCCCGTGCTGTGTGGCCCCTATCTTTACTTTTGCTGACAATAATGTATTCCCTAACACATGACTGAAATTCTCAACTAGACCTTTGTCTACAGAGACTTTCTCTGTTCCCTTTAGACTACAGCTAATGGCAAAGTTGCCAGGTGCATTCTTCATCTACTTCCAGCCAGATCCTTCAAGATTCCACAGTCACTGAGGACTTCTGGATAGCTAACGCCCTGTGTAAGAGCTTAGCAAGACTCAGAGGCGCATCCATTCAGATCTTTCTTTAATTAAAAAAAAAAAAAATCTTTAGAGAGATAACTTATAAAGTCGCCTTGGAGAGGCAGAAGACCTTTCCCTTCAACAATCCCCTCATCTTCTCCAGAACATCTCTACGCTTCTCTCCCACTCAACCAACCTCCCCACCAGGGGCTGGTGAAGAGAAGAGAAATGGAAGCTCGCCTACCTCTGTTTTCCACCCAGACTCCAGTGGGAACTGAGAGGAATTTCCCAACTTTCCCTGCACTTGCTCTCTTTTATGCCTCTCCAGTATTGTTTGTCTGGCCAGCTTCTCAATAGTTAAAGAAGAAATAAAGGAATTTAGAAAATCCTTTTCTTTCTTATAACCCAAATTTCATGACTATTGTCTTGGAAAAGAAGTCAAAGGAGCCAGCTTTTGAGATTCAAAACTGATCAATGGCATCTTTGTTCTAATCTTGGGAATGCCCAGCTTCTCCTTCCCAGGGGCTATATGCTTGAGAGGTGGAAGTTTGCAAAGAGGGAACTTGATTTAAGGGATAAGTGTCAGTACTTTGATCTATTATTTCAAATGATTTCAAATAATTCTCATTATACTCTCACTAAAATAACAACACTAGGTTCATTAGAACTATACCAGATAGCATGCAGCAACTTATTTTTTTTACTTAATTCTTACAACAACCCTATTTTGAAAGTTATCATACACACAGAAGAAAACCAAGGCACAGAATGATTTGCACAGGCAGGAAGGAAGGGGTTCTTTGTCTTATCCACTGCAGTCTAGAATAGTGTTTTTCATTTTGAATACAATTCATTTGAGAAATTCAATTTACACTACATTCTAAATACACATATAACTAAGGAGTTTCACATAACAAAACTTGAGCTCAGTTTCTATCCTTTTCTCTTTTTTCCTTTTTGATGCTAGTCACAATCAACAAAATTGGTTTCATAACCTACAGAAGGGCCATAATTGATAGTTGAAAAATGCTGTTCTAGCTTCAATATCACAAATTCAAGTAGAAATTACATCAAAGTATTTGGCCATTTGGAAATCAGGCTAAGGTAATTCTTCATGAACAAGTTGTAATTGGGAGAGCTTGGGTATGAAAGACTTGAAACAAGTGAAATAGTGAGTAAAATGTCAATTAAAGACTGTTAAGTAGTTTAAAATCACGTAGCAGGAAGAAATTCTAAACAGAACAAATAGATTTGTAGTACAAGGACTTGCCACTTGTTAGTAGTTTCAAAACATCTTCTTAAGTTAGCTTCTCAGAAATTGTAGCTAACTACAATATGTATGCCTTCAATTTTGATCTATGGGACATAACTATATCTCAGGATTTTAATTTTTCTCCAAGGATTTATGTAAAAGTTGCATATTGGTTTGGTTCCTTCAAAACTGTGCTCCAAACCTCTAAGTAGTTTCAAAATAGATTTTCATAAACTCCCAATTCTTGGATGGAAAAAAACGATCTGAGTCATTGGACATTCTGCATTTTGAAATAAGCAAGATGAAGTCAGGGTTGATAAAGTCAATTAATAATTTTGGGATGAATGAATGACATTTCAGGAAATGAAAGGTTCAAAGAATTTCCAGATCATAAAACTTAGAAAACCCCCACAACTTCTGCCTTTCCACCCCAGGGCTCATTACAGGGTTGCGTGCTTTGCTTTGGGCCACTTTCAAGTCAATCAAATAAAGAGCCCTCTCCCATGTTTATGGCACTTTCTAATTCTCACTAAATTATACCTTTGACCTCTAAAAGATTTGCAACTGGCACCAGGATGTGGTTACAAATTGGATCAGTATCACGAAGCAGATCTTTGTCACACACTGGAAGATCTAATTCATCAGTTACCTACTGAAGCCAAAAGGATGACATTAGTAGCTTTTATTGGGGGTAGGTTTTTAAGATACGAAACTGGAGAACAAAACAGAAGCCTTGGAAAATACGGAAAAGAAACTAGTCAAAACAAGGTAAAGAAAAGAATGTTTGAGTAGATGCTGGGAAACCTTAATGCTGGTTCTGCACCTACCACAAGATGATTTAGAATCTTAAAATTAGTTGGCCATTTTAGACCTCAGATTTCTCACCCGTACATGTTTGTCAATGGTCTCATAGTTACTGTTAAGCCAAATACGTGGGATCAATTCTTCCCCTCAAATTGCAGACAAGATTCAAATCACCACATTAGAGTGATTTTCTTCAAACATCCTCATTAGATAAGAACACACCAGAGAATACCACAAATGAGCAGTCTTCCTGGAATCCATTTTTATTGAAAAACACTCAGGCACCAGCAGCTTCAGGAGAGGGTTAAGAAAAAATATGTGAACAAGATTGTGGGAGGAGAAACTCATGTAACCTGCAGGGGGCGCTACGGTACTTTTCACAGATAGAAAAAAAAATCTGATTAATGAGCTTGAGAGGTACCTGTTACCCCACCTGAGCAGCAGATGGGAAAAAAGGAACAGAGAGGTTTCTTCATTTATCAATCCTCTTATGGTTATTTCTCCCTGCCTCTGTGTCAAGTAGACAGCCTAGAAGTAGTAATCAATGATTATAAAAGATAAACTACTAACTGATTGAAGAGGGAAAAAATTCCAAAAAGAGCAACTTTTTTGGGGGGAGGGGTAAGGATTTGATATAAATACCCTGGCTACCTAGTAACTCGAGGAACTGTTATTTAGTAAGGAGTAGGAAAGCCGAGGACAGAATGTTTGAAGCTCATGATATATTGTTGGCAGAGCAGAGGTAAATTACAAGGAGAATCCAAGAAGTATTAGTTCTCCCTTTTTAGGGAAGAGTCAAAAGGATAGATCACATATGGAAGATGCATGTCAATACCATAGATTTAGAGGTTTCTGCTCGGGAAGAAATGAATTGAATTAAAAATGATGAGCAGAAGAGACCTTATATTGTAATTCTTAACAATTTGTAAAGCCTTTTTTTTGTAAACATTAGATCTCATTTGATCCTTATGATGGCCATTTTATATTTGAAGGCTTCGAGGTTAAGTGGCTTGCCCTAAGTTACATAGTAAATTTTAGAGCTGAGTCTTTAATGGAAATTGATTTCTAGTGATTTCGACACATCACTGGGCCACTCTCCCAACCAAGTGTGTTTTGGGGGACTTACTTGTAATGGAAAAATTCTGTTATAAGCCCAAGAGATGTCAGTTTATGTTGTAAAGTGAAAAAAAAAAATCAAATGGCAGATATTCACAAAGCAAAATAAAGACAATTTCTTCTCACATGCTTTGTATCTCCAAGAAGCTAACAGGAGTTTTCACAACACAAATGGCTAATCTTAACAGCAGGCCAAATTGGCAGTCGTGTTGTCTGCCTGATCAACAATATGCCAGGCTGCTTGAGATTTATCCCGTAACAACTCCTCAGGGTGAAAGTATCATTTCCAAAAAGTAAATAGAATTCCAATAACAAAAGCTAATAAGGTGGGACCCTGTATGCTTCCCATATCCTCCCCCGCACTGAAACTGACACAAACAAACCAACCATTCATTCAAAATGGCCTATATTCAGATTAGTGTCCCAAGTCAAAGATCCAGGAGGGGAATCTGGAAAGAGTCAAAACAGGAAGAACAAGTTTGGGTGTGAACTCCACAGGGAAGCCTCAGGCTTTGTGAGACATAATGATGTCATGGGTTTGGGGAAGGAGTGGGGGGCTTCAAAGTCAGACCCAAGTTTGAAAACCAGCTCTGCCCCTTAGAAGGCGTATTTGGATTCATCAAGTCTCATTTTCTGTGCAAAAGGAATAAAGTAATGATCCTGCAAGTTGCTGTAGAGATCAAAAATAACATATATAATGACATGTAGCACATAATAAATTCTCAATAAATGACAACTAAAATTTGGGGATCCCTGACACTTGGTGGGAAATGGGGCACAGAGCAGCCATGAAAGTCCTGATCGCAGTTTGCCTTTCCCCAAACCTGCCCGTAGCTAGCTCTGACATCAAGTCTTGTGGAAGGTCTGTATATCCAATAGGCCAAGGACTCTGTCAGAAGACATCTTTAGTCTGAGTATCACTTTGAGTCACTAACTGTAAGGATTTATTATACTTTGATTTGTACAAGTCCTCCAAGATCAAAGACAG